GGCGCCCTACCTACTCTACAGCCTATCACTACAACTACAGCAATGAAAGCAACCAGACAACTTGACGACCAGCGAGTGATGATGTCAACACCAATGCCGACCTCCTCTCCACCAGGTACGTCTCTCTCTTCCCCTCCACTCTCCCTTGTTATCCTACACAGCGCCCTTCACCTCCGAAGAACCACCTTCGCGCTTCACCTCCCCTGCGCCCACAGGCAGCCCGGCTATGGCCGCCAGCGCCCTGCGCCCAGGCTACGCTCTACCGCTTAGCGCCAGCCTGCCTTCCTCAGCCTAGCGCAGCGCAGCACACTTGCAACGCAGCAGCGTGCTGGCCTTGCTCGCAATGGCCAATATCCCTGCCCACTCGCCCTCCCTGCCCCAGTACCTGTACCCAGGCCCAATGCGGTTGGGGCCCAGGAGATGCAGTTGCGCCTCTTTCATCAAGGCTTGCGGCCAGATTCAGATAGTGAACCGGTTTCCCATTGGCATTTTCGGCCTCTATATCCAGCATGCATTGTCGGCCTCACGTTTATGTGCCCAGGGCCTAACCAACTCTGGGGCCCCGGGGTTCTGCATTTGCAGAGCTCCGATACTCGGTGCACTCCAACCAACTGGCGTGCTGCAACTGTATGGACCCCACTTCGYGAAATGTTTGCACAGAGGGCTCTTGTTGATTTGCTGGCCCGCCTTCACTTAGGGCGGGCACGAGGCTTGCTGGGGGCCTTAGCCCAGAACATGTATGTCACGGCAAGGCCCCCCCTTTTGAGGGCTCAATCCTCACACAAGGCCTTGGCAGGCCTACTAGGGGGGGTGATACGACGTAGTGCTGTAAAGTCTCTCTTCTTTCGGGGACTAGAGGTCCTCTAGAGGATACTTTCTTTCTTTCTTTCTTTCTTTCTTTTTTTTTTTTTTTGGACAAGGCCATGGCAGGCCTACTACTGGACGTAAAAAAAAAAACAAAAAGAAAAAGGTGGGGGTGATATGAGAAGCCTGCCCTAGTAAGCCCACTGCTGGAGACATGCATCAGTCCCAATCCCATATGTTGCATGTCACTGGACTGATGAGTTCACTCTCCTCGGATTAACGTCCAGAACACAGCATCAGAATTGCGATCTCATCTCTCACATGCACAGGGGACTGTTCGAGGAGCCTTTTTTTTTCAGTTGTTCGTTCTTTAATGTGACCAATTTTTGATGTATGTCTATCATCCTTGAGCAGGGGCCATGCTAATCTACTCTGTATCGTTCCAGTTTGACAGATGTCCTGAAGGATGAGGCACCATTTTAAGGACTCTATGGATGCTGCGAAAAGTGGTGGTGAGGCGCGGCGAGCCTATGATTCACGCTGACTTCAACGAAATATTAAACAGCTCATTTCTCCAGAGCAGACTTTGTGGGTACACAAGAGGGGTTTCACCCCAAAAAACCCTATTTTGGGCTTCACCCCGTATTTTGTGAGTACAGACGAAGACGTGAGTCAAATGCATGCACACAGTCAGTGAGCACAAGGCCCCCGTGAGAGTGCGCTCAGAAAACGTGAGACATGTGAAAAAAATGGCAACACATCCAATACCAGAGAGAGATGGAGAACGAGAAGGAGAATGAGGCAGGAGAGATGAAGAGGAGGAAGAAACACATAGCCCAGCACGCAAAAGTAAGCGCAATGATACCCTCGCTCAATAGAAAAAATCAATAGACAGCTGGAGTGAGGTCTGCGGAAAGCCCGACATGTTTCGGCCACCTCGCAAAAGTGGCCATCATCAGGGGCAAAATGCGCTTGCGAGTAGGTAAGTCATCGCTTCTTAAATACTAGTCTCACAAGGTTACTTCGAGACATCCTACCTCTAGACGAATCATCCAAGTACTCCATTGCAATCGCAGCACACTCCGGAGAACACGAAAAGCAGTAGGCGCCAAAAAGGAAGAGGTGAGCGGGAGAGGAGAAAAGGATTGAAGCAGACTGCACTGCAGCAGTCAGTTTAACAGAGAAGAGGGGAGACAGGTAGAAAAGCAGGGAGATATCAGAATAGGTACGGAGCGGGAAAGTGAAAGAAAGACGCGCGGGAAGAAGAGGTATGAGACATAGAGAAAAACGCGGAAGTTGGGCGGTAAGAGAGGTAGGTCGATGGAGAGCAGAGAGAAGAGAAAGAGAGTCACAGGTCAGGACAGATGTGAAGTGGCGAAAAGAATGGGGCAGGGTAACAGGAGGATAGTAGACGCGACAGAGGTGTAAGGGGGAAAAAACAAGGGAAATGGGCAGGTAGGCGATAGCAGCAGATATCGGTCTGCACCAGCAAAGGATTCGGGAGCGAGAAATCGTCCGACAGTACTACTGGACAAACAAACCCCGACGAGTCATCGATCTACGATATCCGTGGTGCTGTCCCACTCGGATGAACAGAACCCCGACAGATCTTACAGCCTGGTCCTTTTTAACCCCTCGCAGAAAAATTGGACCCATCCATCCCAGCATCCCCCATGAACCGTGGAAAAATCCCTCAAAGCTTTTAAAATTTAAAAACATCCAATGGGGAAAACGTTTAAGCCTAAGTTCACGTCTCAAAGACAACAAAGGGCTGCACCCCAAAACCCCGCTTCTGTACCCGCAATTGAGGGGCTTCAGATGAGGGTCTTCACCCCAAAAGCCCTCTTCTGTACCTGCAAAAGAGGGTCTTTTGGGGTGAAGCCCTTCGTCTGCACCCGCAAAAGAGGGGCTTCACCCCCAAAGAGGTTTTTCTTGGGTGAAACCCCTCTTTTGTAAGTCATTGACTACAGCACGAATCATAGGTACAGTGAGGTCCTCACCGCACCTCACCACCACTTTTTGCAGTGTCCGTAGAGTCCATAATATGGCGCCTCCTCCTTCAGGACATCTGTTGAACCACCAGTACTTGGCCCAACTATCGATTCCGAGCCTCAACCGACCGGTACGCCGAGCCGTGCCGAGGCTCGGACTACCAGACGTGGACTTCCCAAACGTAGGTCTGCAGTTATGCCCCAAAAAACGGGAAAAAGAAACAAGATCGACGAGACAAGCAAAATAAAAACAAAAAAAAACGAAGGAAAAAAAAGAAGGAAAAAAAGAAGTATCTGCTTCCGCGTGAGAGAGAGAGAGAGAGAGAGAGAGAGAGAGAGAGAGAGAGATCTCTCTCTCTCTCTCTCTCTCTCTCTGACGTTTGGCATTGCAAAGCGGGAATCTTTCCGCGAAAGCGGGAAAATTCCCGCTTTGCTTTTTCTAA